GGTCGAGCCAATGTAGAGTAGGTCGTCTACATAGACGATCAGTAAGATGTAGTCGGTGCCCTTTGTGAGTCGGTACATGCCCTGGTCGTGCGGTAGCTGGCGGAACCCGATGCGGATGAGTCTAGCGTGCAGGTACTGTTGCCACAGTCTCGGGGCCTGTTTAATGCCGTACAGGGACTTTAGCAGCTGATAGACTTGGTTAGTATCTCCGTTTGATCCGTGTGGTAGTTCGACGAAGATTTCGGCGTCAACAGGTGCGTAGAGTAAGGCATTGGCGACGTCAATTTGCCGTAGTTCCTTCTTCTTCATGGCGGCGATCGCGAGGAGAATTCGCAGCGAAGTATGTCGGCTGACCGGGGCGAACGTCTCGGTGAAATCGCGTCCGTGCTCTTGGTCGAAACCGCGTACGACCCAGCGCGCCTTAAACTTGTCGATGGTGCCGTCTGCCTTTGTTTTCACACGGGAAACCCATTTTCCGGTGAGTACCGTTTTGTTGCGTGCCACGCCGATGGGAACGACTTTCCAGGTGTTCCGTTCTTCCAGCGCTTTCAGCTCCCTGTCCATGGCTTTGCGCCATTTTTCCCTATGCCCCCCCCCCCAGAGCCTGCTGAACTATGGCAGGCTCCTTAGGAATCTCCGTGCCGTGAACCGGGTGACGAGGCCAAGTATCTGGAGTCCGCTCTGTGTGTAGCGGGGGAATGTTGTGTCCTCGGGATAAGCTTCTTCGTCACCTGCTTCTGGGTCAGGTAAGAAATTTGGTCCTATGCGTTCGGCTTCGTTGGTGTTGACTCGGGCGGGTGTAACGTAACCAGTGTCAACGAAGTCGTAGAAGACTTCGGCGTTGATGCTCTCGCGAGGGTTGTCGTCGTCCATTGGAATATCCACCGAGCAGTACGGAAGAGGTCCGGCTTCTTCCGAAGCTCTGTCCACGTTCTGTTCGTCCAGGTCAGCTTCATCTTCTGCCGAAGCGAAAGCTCGGTAGCCACGAAATCCGCCTGTGACATCCCGTGAGGTCTCCAGGTTGTACAGGTACGTTGGAAGGGTGAGACGTTCGTAGAAGATGACATCACGTGCTGCCACTGTTTCCTTTGTGTTGATGTCGAAAATCTTCCATGCGTTGTAATGTTTTTCGATGCCCAGGTGTAGTCCCCACTGTGCGCGTTGGGAGAATCGGCCGGCGCGTGCAGCTGGGGGTCGGTACTGTACCATGCAGCCGAACACTCGTAACATTTTTGTGTTGCCCAATTTCCCTGTCCACAGCAGATGCGGTGATGCGTTGTTCGGGAGCGATGATGACGAAAGCAAGTTGTGCAGTAGGACAGCATGGTCCATCGCCTCAGGCCACTGGTGGTTGGGTAGCCGCATGCCACGTAGCAGTTTGCGCATGGTGTTCTGTAGGGTCCTGTTCATCCTTTCTGCTACACCTTGCTGTTGATGAGCGTAGGGAAGAGAGAGGAATCTCTTGATGCCTCTTTCCGCCAGGTACTGTATGAACCTCTGTGATGTGTATTCTCCTCCTCCGTCTGACTGGAAGCTTTTCAGCTTCAATCCTGACTCTCGTTCTGCTACTGGGAGCCAAGCGACGAAGGCGTCGAAGGCCATGTCGCGACTCGGAAGGTTAAGATGCCAGACGTATCGTGTGGCGGCGTCGATGAAGGTGATGACGTAGTTGTACGCCCCTTGACCGGGCTCGCAATTGTACAATATATCGCTGTAGACTTTCTCCAGAGGTGCGTATGCCGGAGCACTTGGGTTGTGGTGAGGGACGAAGGTCTGATGCGGTGAAGCATGTTCCTCGCATTCGTTGAAGTTCTCTTCCGTCGGGTAGAAGTAGAGAGTCTTTGTCGAGTACGCCTGCTCTTATCGTGTTATTTAACGTTGTGTTGCTTGGGTGTCCCATTCGTGCGTGCCAGATGTCTTCACCAGCTCGATGTCCGGGTGAGCGACGGTATAAGTCGGAGTTGGAGTAGAAGCCTGCAGTGAAATTTGCGCTTCGATGGACTTCTCGTGGTGTTGGATTCAGTTGTTGCGCAGGAGTCGGTGGAGTATCGTCGTCGGTTGGGGCTGGTGCAGTTGAAGGACCCGCGATTGGTGCCGATGTTGTCTCTGCTGCTGCCGATGTTGTCCCTGCTGCTGCCGATGTTGTCTCTGCTGCTGTCGGTGTTGTCTCTGCTGCTGCCGATGTTGTCTCTGCTACTGCCGGTGTTGTCTCTGCTGCTGCCGATGTTGTCTCTGCTGGCGCCGTGTGCTGAATCATTGCCAATGCCCTTGTTCGTTCTGCCTCAGGTATAGTGTGCGAATACCAGAAGCCGCTCGGACTGAAGTCGGGATCAAGATCCGGCGGGTGTGTCCAAGAAGTGAAGTTGACGATGGCGTCGCTGTCGGCGGTGCCTAAGTCTGAAACGAAGTCGAGGACGAAGACGTTGTTCTTCAACACCGCTTTCCCGATGTAGAGTCCGCCTCTCCCGTGGTACAACTTGAATTCTTGGGTGGTGCTGTCTGCTTCGAGGTGAATGCCTTTCGCCATCAGCTGACTAAGACTGAGTAAGTTGTAGCCAAGTCCATCCGCGATTAAGACTTTTGACATCTGCAGTATAACGTTCGTCTCCCGTGACTGAAGTTGAACTACGCCTTGTCGTCTTGTGCGCAGGTTCTGGTTGTTGGCGACGGTGATGACGACTTCGCGTTGGAGTTGATGTTCTCGTTGGACGAAGCGACCCGAGGAGCACATGTGTTGTCCGCAGCAACTATCCAAGAACCAGGTGTCTTTCCCGGACGGCTCGCTTTGGGCGATAGCTGCGTACGCTGGGTTCGGCTGAAGTGACTCACGGCGAGGGGTGCTGTTGTCGAGTTGCTCTTCCGGTGAGTAATGCGGTGGTGACTCGGTGATGCAGGAATCGGTCAATTTCGCCATGCAGCTGACGATGTTTCTTGCTCCTTGTGCAGATTGCGTCGTTGATGTCGCTGAGGACTGCAGTTGACTCGTGGGGTGCGCCTGTGTGGACGCCACTTGACTACTTGAGGGACGAAGTTGGCGTTGCGCCGGGGTTGACTGCTGTCGATTCGGGCAGTGTGTGCGAGGGTGCCCTGATGTCTTGCAAATATGACAGAATGGAGGTACGGGTTTTGGTTGATGCCGGTTGTTGTTGTTGTTGTAGCGTCGTTGAGTGTGGAATGCAAATTCGGGTACTGACGTTTTCTTCTTGTGCCGCTCCTCCTGCAGGTCCATGTCTTGCTGCTCAGCGTGAATCTCGGCGCAGAGTGCTGCTTCGGAGATTTTTCCGTGGGCTCGGAGGATGGCTCGGGTGGAGCGCCATTGATGACCGAGGCCGCCGATGATGACTGTCACGAAGGCGTCTTCAGATATTGAGCCTCCGATGATGAAGTTTGTCGCGCAATTCGCGACAACGGTTGATATACGCCATTCCCTTTTCGCCAGGCTTCATTTCCACTGTTGTCAGCTGTGCCATTAATTGACTCTGATTGACGCTGTCTGTTGCTTGATACAGGTTCTTCAAGTGGTTGTACGCAAGCTCGGCGGAGTTGCCGTATCCCCGATAGGACCGGATGTTCTGCTGCTGGTTCGGTGTCATGTTGCGCAGTAGAATTGTGTACGCCATCATGGACTGATATGTGTACTGCTGCTTGTCATATTGCGTCCCGTGTGTTGGGTATGGCAGGGACCCGTCAAAGAATCCAAGGATTTGCGCACCTTCCATCATCAGCTCGAACTCGAATGACCAGGTAAAGAAATCTTTGCCGTCGAATGGCCTTGATGTTTGCAGTTTTAGGACGTGTGCAAATTGCGACTGAACTTGAAGTGCATCCAATGTTTTCTCTTGCTCAGGTGAAGGCTGCTGGCGCGGCATGAAGCTGACGGAACCGCGCTAAGGTTCGTACGGGGCGAAGGTAGGCTGCTGTTGCTGATTTCCTCGCGCGTAGGATGAACCGTCGAGGCTCATCGGTGTCACATCGTTATTGTTGTTGCTGTTGTTTGACTGTGCAGGTGCCCCTTGCTGGTGTTGTTCGTAGAAGGACATGAAGGAGAAGAACTTCTCCATCATGCTTGGGTCGAAGCCCGCGGCTTGATTTGGGGGAGTTTCAGTAGACTCAGCTGCTGGTTTTGTTGCCGTGCCCTCCTCTGTCTGTAGGCCAGAGGCAGGAGGTGGAGTAGGAGTAGTACCGGGAGAGCCGTTAGAGGAGCTTCTCTTCTTTTGCGTTGCCATGCCTTCAGATGTTGTAAGTGTCTTGGAAGTAGTTGAGTTTGCCCTGATAGCTCTCATACCATGGTGGGCTGAGAAAAGCCCTCTGGATCTTTGCAGGACTAAACTCTGGTAGGAACAATGTAATAGCGGAAGCGTTTAATGATAAGTCCTTGAACCACCTTGCGCTGGTATGTGAGGGCAAAGTAGATTGATTAAAACAAGGAGATACAAGGTTTTTATAAGAGTTAAAGGAATATGAAGAGAAACAGCTGAAAACCGTTTTACTGTTGCTGTTGCGGTTCGATACAGTGACGACTTGGGCAATTGCTTTGAATCGAGTCAGTTGTTTGTCCTTGCTGTCGCGCTGTATTTGTCAAGTCAAAGGTCGCTGACCTTTGACCTTCACGTAACCTCCAACGGTTGCTTTAGTTGTCAACCTCCGATGGTTGACTCGCTGATGTTTCGTTTGTGCTTCGCTTCGTTTAAGGCTTGATGTTTCGACACAGCAGAAGCGCTTAAATCATTTGTTTCCAACATGTCTGGCCCCACAACCTGCAGGCATCTAACCAGGAGGAACAGCACCACCCAACACCACCCACCCATCACCACCGTCGTTTATCCCATTCAGTGTTTCACATCCAGATTTGCCTCAGTAACGAGCCTGGTGCTGCATGGCTTCTTCCTTCTGGCTCCAGGCATCTGGCCACCTAACGACAGCACTGTCTCAACTCTGCTACCATCCACTCCCATCCGAACTTCAGTACCCTGACCACATCCATAGAGCTCTACATCCCTCTACACGCCTTGGTCTGCCTCCACCAGCTCCAGGCATCTGGCCACCAGCGACAGCACCGTCTCCACTCCCATCCACTCCCGCACCCATGCCTGCTCATCCATCTGATCCTCCTCCTCCTCCTCCTCCCCATCCTCCCCATCCTCCCCATCCTCCTCATTCCCACTCTCCCCTTCGCCATCCCCATGTCCGCATCCCATCCCTTCCCTGCAGCCCCTCACCCGTGGTCTCCTGCATTCGAGGGAGGCCCGGGCGGCGAGGGCGGCGGAGCGCAGAGGCAGCAGCCAGGAGTTTCGAGCGCGATACAGGCTGGGCTTGGTGCGGAGGGATGTGGGGGAGGGCAGTGAGGGCGGATGGAGAGGTGAGGGCAGGGGTGCAGAGGAGTGGATGGGGGTGGAGGCAGGTTGGTGCTCTCTGAGGAGCAGGAAGCGCAGGAGGTTGAGCGCTGCAATGATGGCATCTGCATGATCCGGCAGGTGGAAGGCCAGTAGCGGCGCGGGAGAGGAAGCTGAGGGGTCAAGGAGAAGGTGTAGCAGGGAGAGGATGGCTGGCGAGGCGAAGGAGGGGAGAGGGGGAGGAGAGAGGGGGTGGTGGGGAGGAGTGCTTGCGGGTAATTTTGATGGGGGTGAAGCTGGAGCTGACGTGGATGGTGGTGCTGACGTGGATGGTGGTGCTGGCGTGGATGGTGGTGCTGACGTGGATGGTGCAAGGTGCAACAAGCGAGGCCATGCTCGGTCCACTTCGTCCTTGGCGAATGACACGAGCAGAGCCACCTGGTGGGGGGTGAGTGGGGAAGGTGGGGATGAGAAGGCGGTGGGGGGAGAGGAACAGAAGGGGAAAGGAGATGGGTGAGATGAGAAGTGAGAAAAGCAAGGCGAAGGGGGCTGGGGAAGTGCGGAAACGGGAGGGTGAGGAGACGTGGAAGAGAGAAGAGAGGCATGGGGTGCCCCTGCCATGTCCGCATGGGGTGCCCCTGCCATGTCCGCATGGGGTGCCCCTGCCATGTCCGCATGGGGTGCCCCTGCCATGTCCGCATGGGGTGCCCCTGCCATGTCCGCATGGGGTGTCCCTGCCATGTCCGCATGGGGTGCCCCTGCCATGTCCGCATGGGGTGCCCCTGCCATGTCCGCATGGGGTGCCCCTGCCATGTCCGCATGGGGTGCCCCTGCCATGTCCGCATGGGGTGCCCCTTGCCATGTCCGCATGGGGTGCCCCTGCCATGTCCGCATGGGGTGCCCCTGCCATGTCCGCATGGGGTGCCCCTGCCATGTCCGCATGGGGTGCCCCTGCCATGTCCGCATGGGGTGCCCCTGCCATGTCCGCATGGGGTGCCCCTGCCATGTCCGCATGGGGTGCCCCTGCCATGTCCGCATGGGGTGCCCCTGCCATGCCCGCATGGGGTGCCCCTGCCATGTCCGCATGGGGTGCCCCTGCCATGCCTGCATGGGGTATGTGACAGCCCCTTGGGATCATGTCAGGACAAAGCATCCACTACATATTGCACCACACTGACCATCATGCTTCCTTCTCTGTACTCTACAATCAACCCCACTACACCACACCGCACCGCGCTCACCATCATACATTCGACCGTGCATTACACAATCAGTCCCTTGACACACTCCAACCTCCCCCCATCTATCATTGAGACGCCTCAGAAGAAGACAAACCAGTCACCAGTGCACCACACTCACCTCTGCACCGTACTGCATTGGACTGCACTCACCAGCATGCTCTCTTCTTTGTACTCCAACCTCTCCCAATCTGTCGCTGCCTCGCCCCAGAAAAAGAGACAACACTCACCAGTGCACCTGCACTGCACTGCACCACACTGCACTCACCAGCATGCTTTCTTCTCTGTATTCCACAATGAGTATTTTCACACACTCCAGACGCTCCCCATCTGTCGTCGCCGCCCGCAGCACTGCCAGCATGGCGCGGTGTGCCGCCCGGCGCAGCGCAGATGAGCCGATTGCTGACATCATCACGCCGGCCAATGACGACGTGACACGTGTCACTGTTTCTACAGCAATGGAGTCGTTATTGTCAACAAATTGGTGTTTGTCTGTCAGCGATCGTGGTTGAGAGTGTGTGGGAGAAGGGGGAGAGTGTGAGTCGTTTTTCTCAGTGCAAGAGGAGGTGTAAGCATCCAGAGCAGCATGAACCAATCGTATGCCAGCAACCCTTCTCAACACAACGTCTCCCACTCCTCCTGTTCTCCCTGCAACGCCAGCTGGAGAGCCAGCAGCAAGGAGGCAAGGAGCAAAGCGGAGCAGTGTGATGAGAGTGGTGCGGGCGGCAGGAAGGGTGCTGCTGGTGCTGGTGGTGGGGTGAGGCTTTGCAGCTTGGAGAAGCACCCATAGCAGCAACACTGCCACTCCCCCCTCCACCTCCCTTTGCACCGCACCCAACCACTCCTCTTCTCTCTTCAACCTCTCCGCTTCTCTCCTCTTCTTCTCTTCTCTGCTTGCTCTACCACCCTCTCCCTCCTCCTCATCCTCGTCCTCCTCTTCCTCTTCCTCTTCTTCTTCCTCCTCATCTGGCCTCAGAAGAGCCTTCACCGCTCCCAGCCAAGCATTGGTGCCCAAAGCTCCATCCGTACGAGCTGCAGCAGCAGCAGCACCAGCAGGTGCAGGTGCGGCAGCAGCTGTATTGTCGTGAAGATGGCAGGAGGAGCGGCACACAGTGAGGGAGAGAAGGTCCAGAGAGGGGAGGAGAGAGTGTGCTGTGGCACTGGCAGCACCACCTTCTGTGCTCTCAGCATCACCGATTGCACCTGCTCTGCTGCTGCTGCTGCTGCTGCTGCTGCTGCTGCTGCTGCTGCTGCTGCTGCTGCTGCTGCTGCTGCTGCTGCTGCTGCTGCTGCTGGTGCCTGTGCCCATGCTTCTAGGCGTGTGTTCAGCTGCGCTCTCCCCTGGAATGAGTGGCCACAAGGCACCGATGTGGCAGTGGAGAGCAGCCAGGGCGCTGGCCACCGGTGAGATGAGGGGGAGGAGGGGTGCGGAGGAGGGCGTGGGGGCGGGTGCAGGGGAGGGCGTGGGGGCGGGTGCTGGGACTGAGGCAGGTAAAAGGGGCGAGAGTTTTGAGGGGAGAGCGGAGGGGGGTGGGGGATGGGAGGAGAGGATGGAGAGGAGGAAGGCGGAGCAGTGGGAAAGAGAGAGGAGCAGCAGCAGCGTGGCTGTTTGGGCTGCCAGTAGAATCTGGGGGGAGGCTTGAGGTTGAGGGTGAGAGGAGGTTTCAGTGCGAGGGGAGGTGACAGGCTGTGCTGCTGCTTGTGGGACGGGTGGGACTATAGCGCGTGTGACTGCAGTGAGAACGAGGTGCATGCAGCGGTGGCACACCAGCCATGCTGCCTCTCTGCTGCTGCTGGGAGTTTGAAGGAGGTCCGGAATGATAGAGCGGGTGCCAGGAGGGAAGGGGGGAGTGTTGGTGGGGGCAGGTGGTGTGGAAGCAGATACGAAAGGGGTGGGAGCAGGTGCGGTGGGGTTGGGGGGAGGTGGGATGGCAGGAGATACGTGAGGTGATGGGGGGATCATGGAGCGGGTGCCGGGAGGGAAGGGAGGGGTGGCGGCGGGAGCAGGTGGCGTGATGGGTGGGGTGGGGTGCGGTGGTGGTGGTGCGATGGGAGAGGTGCTTTGAGTAGGGAAGGGGCTGGGAGGAGGGGGAGGAAGGAAGATCTCGGCAGAAAGTGGGGAGAGCGAGGGGAGAGAAGGAGTGGATAAGGGCGCTTGAGAAGCGGTGGTGTAGCGGGAAAGGGAGGAGCGTGTGTGGGGCTGTGGTGGTGCTGGCAGCACAGCACAGTGAGAGGCCCGCTGGGCGAGGTGCAGGAGGAGCGGCGCCAAGTCGATGAAGAAGCGATGGCGCTGCCGGGGGATGCGGGGGAGAGCTGCGAGGGAGGGGGACAAGCGAAGGGGAGGAGAAATGGGAGGGAGGAGGGGGGCCAGCGTGTTTCAAGGAGGGTGGAGAGGTGCAAGAGGAGCGCGCCAAGTCGATGGAGGACCGATGGCGCTGGCGGGGGATGCGGGGGAGCGCTGGGGGGAGTGGGGGGGGGGAAAGAGAATTCGAGGGGGAGGGACGCCAGTGAGTTGCAGGCAGGAGCGGCGCCAAGTCGATGAAAAACCGATGACACTGCCGGGGAATGCGGGGGAGAGCTGCGAGGACCGGGAGGGAGAGGGGAGGAAGGGGTTTGGCGAGGGGTTGCAGGTGTGGAGGAAGGACGAGATGTGAAGAGAGCAGAGATGGGAGAGACGAGGAGAAACACAAAGAAAGCGAAAATAATAGAAAAACGAGTGGAAAGCGGAGGGAAAGCAAGCACACTGACTGTGAACTCATGCCGGCACTCTGATTGCCCGAGCGCTACACTACACCTGGCTGACTGCCAATTGCCTGCAGTACATCACTTGTGCGAATTCTCAAAAGCACTGCACCTGACTGCACCTGACTGACTGCACGCACCGCAAGGCACTCACAGGCATGCGGCCCGGGCAAAAGGCCGAGGTGAGTGCTCAGCTCACGCGATGTTGGTTGGACTTCTCCGGAACAACTCTAACGAGTTGAGCGCGCAGCAAATAATTTGATTCTGTGCAAGGCAGGTCCGTAACTGGTGTGTAGCCCGGTCAGCAGGGCGAGCCGAGTGCTTTTGAGAGTTCTTAAGAACAGCCAACCTGAACACACCCTGCAGCACCTAATGTGATCTGATCTCATCTCATCGTAAGCAATTTGCGGTACTCACTGGTGTGCAGCCCGGCCAGTAGTGCGAGCTGAGTGCCAAACGGCGCCACACAGCCACTCCAAATCTCCCCTCCCTCCCCTCCCCCATCCTCCCCCTCCACCTCCCCTCCCTCCCCCTCTCCCCTCTCCTCCAACCCCAACTGCGCCGCCCGCCTGACGGCTCCAGACAGCCCCTCCACCAGCGCAGCATGCACCTCGCGGGTGTCACCCGCCCCAGATGCCACCTCCCCCACCGCCTCGCATGCTAGCGCACAGCAGCGAGGGGAGGCGTCTGCTGGGGCAGGTGGTATGTGGGATGTTGAGGAGGAGGGCGAGGAAGGAGGAGGGGAGGAGGGAGGGAAGGAGGAGACGGGGGAGGAGGAAGGGGAGGAAGGGAGAGGCGAGGAGAGGAAGCGGAGGATATCCCACGATGCCCGGTCGATGAGGAGAGACGCCTGGCAGGGGGAGGAGGAGAGGAAGGAGGTGGGGAGGAAGAGGGGGGGGGGGCAATCAGGGTGTGACTATGGCGAGGTGTGGCATGGTGGGCGGCATGGTGTGTGGCATGGTGGGCGGCATGGAGGGCGGCATGGAGGGTGGCATGGAGGGCGGCGTGGAGCAAGGTTCAAAATTACGGTTTTCGTAAAATACGGTCCGTTTTTTACGGTCGTTTTTTACGGTGATTTTTCAAAAAAACGGCCGTTTTTTTGTTAGAGATCTCTGTTCACCAAGAAAAAAAAAGAAAAAAACAAGGTCAAAAACATTTTCGATCATGCCAACAAGCGCATACATGCAAGAAGGGGTCCATCCCCTTCATGCTGCTGCATTTCGGGTTCAATTTGGTCCCAATAAGTGGCCGTTTTGTTAGTTATAGAGGAAACACATCCTGGAACCGTTTTAAACCGTTTTTTACGACCGTTTTTTACGGTACCGTTTTTTACGGTGAAATTTCAATAAAACGGTCGTTTTTTTGAACCCTGGCGTGGAGGGCGGCATGGAGGGCGGCGTGGAGGGCGGCGTGGAGGGCGGCATGCATGCCCCATGAGGTGCGGCAGAGTGGGATCGATGGCTGATGGACGAAAGGGGGGTGTGGATTCGAGGAGGAATTAAAAGGGTCGTCTCGAAAAGAGGAAAAAGTGGGGTAGGTTGGAAAGGGGGATGGGTTGGGAGCAAAGGGATGAGAGGAGGGGGAGTGTGTGAGGGAGGCGGGCAAAGGAGTGTCGGTTGGCGAAGGGTGTGCAATGGAACGAGTGTCGTTGAAAGGGGGTAAATGACAAGGGGAGCGGTTTCAATGGGAAGTGATGACATGACAGAGATGGGGTGGGGTGGGTTGGTTCGGGGTGCGGTGGGCCCGAATGGGATGGGGCCACGATGACAGGGTATGCTGCTGAGGGGTACAGGGATGGATGGAGGAGGGAGAGGTGCGTGGGGCATGTCAAGCGGTTGGTTGGGATGCTAAAAACAAGGAGGTGAGGAAGACGCTTGAGTTTTCGCGTGACAAGGAAATCCAGGTGATGCTATGAGAGTGTGACAAGCATGAGAGTGTGACATGCATGAGAGTGTGACATGCATGAGAGTGTGATATGCATGAGAGTGTGACATGCATGAGAGTGTGACATGCATGAGAGTGTGACATGCATGAGAGTGTGACATGCATGATTGAATGACCATTTTCCTCACCCCACCTCCCCTCGTCACTCCACTCCGTCTCCCCTACTCACCCCACCTTCCCTCCTCACCTCTCATCCCACCCTACCTTGTGACCTGACAGCAGCGACAGCAGCAGCTGCAGCACGTGCCACACGGCGCGCTCCCAACTCTGCTCTCGGGCCGAACAGCCTTCGCTTTCCGAGTCTTCTCCAACAGCGTCCGCAGCGCCATTCACGGCAGAGCGAGCCGCAGGAGGCCCGATATCTCCTGCCTCTCCTTTTTCTGTCGTCGGTTTCCACGAACTTGCGCATCCCTCGCTACATCCCTCCTCCAGCAGCCGCCTCAGTTCTGCTGACGTGGCCTCGATTTCCTCGAATGACGTGTCCGGCAGCTGACACAGCCGCTCGCCGCAAGAGCGGACCCTCGCTTCCCACGTAGCCATTCACGATTGGCTGATCGCCAGACGGTCTTCACCGAATCGGAAAAAAAACAAAATATCAATCAAGGAAGGCTTCGTGCATGTGATACTGCTGCAGAGTTGTCGCGATACTCGCTATAGTCGCTCGACACTCACGCGGCGGGGACGGAAGTTACAAGACTACTCACGACGCTCTTACGACGGACTCAGCGATTAGGGAACTGGCGAGCGTCGCTGCGACGGCAAGCGCGGACACTGAGAGGCCATCCTACTAGGACCAATAGCTAGTTTGCTGGGACGAAAAGCGCCACGGTAGATTGAATGGCGCGCGATCCGTGGAACGGTCAGTCTGGGAAGCGAATCTTATACGCAATAAAAAGTTAATCGATTTCACGGAGAGCATCAAATTTGTGGCTGTGTAAGGAAAATTCCCTTTCCTTACTTCGCGCCCCTGCTCAAGCGCGTACACCACTGTAGCACCACAGTCAGCACCGTTACCACTCGCAACCCTCGCATCGACAATCCTCCTGCCACCTTCGCACGTCGCACCCCGACCTTACGGCTCGGCGGGTAACTTGCGCTCCGGGCCTCCGCCTCGACAGTTTTCCAAGCCTCGGTTCCAGGCCCGTCGCGCGTCACCCACAGTTCATTACCGTTACCACTATATTTTCGCTATATATTCTTCGCTCATGCCTTCGCTCATTGTACTCTTGCTTCGATAGTGCAATTCTCGCTCGCTCACTCAATTGCACTCGTAACACTTGGTATTCAGAGCCTACGATCTCTTCTCGGACCGCACCCTTACCTTCGCTTCCCCACTATCTCAATTTTTGTCAGATTTATATGACATAGCTACTGTAGGCTATTGTCAGAACATTATAGCTTATGCTGTTGTGTAGGCTATAGTGGGGTATCCCATAGGGGGTACAACCAATTAGGGTTTCATATTTGTACTCACTTCATTTCATAGTTCATCCATTCTTGTTCAAATCTTCTCATGGTATCGAGCAGGTTCCCCCTTGGGAACTGTGCTTAGGGCCCACCACATCGATTTTTTTTCCTGCCCGAAGCGCGCTCAGCCCGAGTCGCACTCCGGGCCCTCACTTCGTCGAGCCGCCCTAGCGGCCCTGCACTGCGGCCCCGCCACCCGTCTCCGCGGCCCCGCCGCCCCATCGCGCGGCCCCGCCGCCCTACCTAGCGGCCCCGCCGCCCTACCTAGCGGCCCCGCTGCCCCATCGCGCGGCCCCGCCGCCCCATCGCGCGGCCCCGCCGCCCTTCCTCGCGGCCCCGCCGCCCCATCGCGCGGCCCCGCCGCCCTACCTAGCGGCCCCGCCGCCCTTCCTCGCGGCCCCGCCGCCCTTCCTCGCGGCCCCGCCACCTTACCTGCGGCCCCGCCACCTTACCTGCGGCCCCGCCACCTTACCTGCGGCCCCGCCGCCCTCTGCTGCGGCCCCGCCACCCTATCTGCGGCCCCGCCACCCTACCCGCGGCCACGCCGCCCTTACCAGCGGCCCCGCCGCCCTTACCTGCGGCCCCGTCACCTGCTGCCCAGCCGTGCCGCCCTGCAGCAGCACAGCCGAGCCGCCCAGCAGCCGAGCCGCCGAGCCGCCCAGCAGCCGAGCCGCCGAGCCGCCCAGCAGTCGAGCTGCCCAGCAGCCGAGCCGCCCAGCAGCCGAGCCGCCCAGCGGCCGCGCCGCCCAGCAGCCGAGCCGCCCAGCAGCGGAGCCGCCGAGCCGCCGGGCCGCCCAGCAGCTGAGCCGCCGAGCCGCCGCGCCGCCCTCCTTCAGGGCCGCCCGACCTGCCCAGTCTGGTGAGCACAGCGCCTTTTCACTGCACTGTCCTCACCCTACTGTTTGCGCTGCTAGTCGTCTAGGGTCATGGCTACCCCTAGTGTTCTCGCCTTTGACGCTGAGGGTAGGGCCATTGACTTTGAGGTCTGGGTAGATGACCTGCAGCTGTTCTTACAGTGCGATAGGGCAGACGGCCTCTCTCTCTTTGACCTCACCTCTGGCACCTCCACTGCCCCTGCTGCTGATGCTGACGCCACTGTTCGCTCCCAGTGGGCCACGCGCGACGCTGCTGCACGTCTTGCTGTGCGTCGCCACCTCCCTACCTCCGAGCGTGCGCACTTTAGTCAGTACAAGAGTGCTCAGACCTTGTACGACGCTGTAGTTGCGCGCTACTCCTCCCCTGCCACTGCTGCACTGAGCCGTCTCATGCTACCGTACCTCTTTCCTGATCTTGCTGCCTTTCCCACAGTCACTGACCTCATTACGCACCTCCGCACTAGTGACACTCGCTACCGCGCTGCACTCCCTCCTGATTTCTGTGCCAGGAACCCCCCCCCCATGTACATCACTCTTTACTACATAGTCACTCGCCTTCCTGACTCCCTTCGCGTAGTCAGGGACCACTTTCTCTCTGTCTGTCCCACCACTCTCACTGTTGACCTCCTCGAGAAGTCCCTCCTAGCGGCCGAGAAGAGCATAGTCGCTGTAGGGGCCTCTCGTGGTGACCCGCGCACCCCCATCTTTGAGGGGTGTTCCCCCTCCCCCCTTCTGCCCTCTGTTGCCTCTGCTGCTGCGGCCGACCTCCTTGTTCTTGAGTCGGTCGGTGCGGCGTCTGCCCCTAGCGGGAGACGCCGCTCTGGCAAGGGCAAGGGGGGCAAGGGCGCTGGAGGAGCGAGCGGGGGCGGTGGAGGTGGAGGTGGCGGCAGTTGGGGGAGTGGGGGTGGCGGTGGGAGTGGAGGTGGGGGTGGAGGGGTCGGTGGCGGCAGTGGAGGTGGAGGTGGCGGCGGCGGTAGCGGTGGGAGCGGAGGTGGCGGAGGTGGCGGAGGTGGAGGCGGCGACGGAGGCGGAGGTGGCGGCAGTAGCGGAGGCGGCGGAGGCGTCGGAGGCGGCGGGGGTGGCGGTGGTGCTGGTCGCGGGTCTTCACAGAGGAGTGGCTCCGGTGGTGGCTCGCGCCAGCAGCAGCAGCGTGGTCGTGACACCCTGTCCCCTCAGCAGCTTCGTGAGTGGTACACTGCGCGTCAGCGGGGTGGGGGTTTTGGTCCGTGCTCCTACGTTTTGCGCACTGGCGACCGTGCGGGTGAGCAGTGTGGGGGTGCCCACCCCACCCAGCGCTGCTTTGGCCGCCTGACGGACGCGTGGTCACCAGTTCCCGGAGGCCTCCGAGATCCCTCGCTGGGGCGAGCTGTCTAGGGCGGGTGTTGCCATCTATGATCTTGACTTTGATGCTATTCTCTCTGCCATGTATGCTGTGTCTATTAGTGATGAGGGTGACTGTTACCGGTGTTTCCCGCCCGATCCGGGCATTGAGACTGCTGCTCTAGGTCCTGGTGAGGCTGCTGCCCTAGGTGCTTGCGACGCTGCTGCTCTAGGTGCTCGTGTGTCTGCGTCCTCAGGTACTGGTGAGTCTGCGCTCTCAGGTACTGCGTCGGCTTCGGCCTCCCTCACCTTCACCCTTGACTCTGGGGCGTCTCGCTCCTTCTTTCGGGACCGCACCACACTCACACCGCTGAGTCGACCGGTTGCAGTGTCTCTGGCTGACCCCTCTGGGGGTCCTGTCCTGTCTCGCTTCTCCACAGTCCTCCCGTGTCCGGCGGCTCCCTCTGGCACCCTGTCTGGTCTCTACCTCCCCTCGTTCTCTACGAACCTGGTGAGTGGTGCTGACCTACAGGATGCGGGGGTCCACCAGTTCACTCCTGCACGTCAGAGAGTGACCCACTGTACAGAGGCTGGCACAGGCCGACACCTGGCTACGTTCACCCGTCAGCCGGGGTCGAGCCTGTACACTCTGACCACTGCGTCTCCTCCAGTTGCTGAGTCTGGTAGGGTAGTTACGTCGGGTCAGGTGTTTGCTGCGGCGTCCAGGTCTGGTCCTGAGTCTGCCCCCTGTTCGTGTCGTCTCCTGTCTCACGAGACTCTCCTCTGGCACCACCGCCTTGGCCACCCCTCTCTGCTTTGGCTCAGAGGTATGGCCTCCCGTCTTCTTGTGTCCGGTCTCCCCCGGTCCCTCCCTCCCCTTCCTCAGGGCCCTGGCCCTGCCTGTGTCCCCTGTGTCGAGGGGCGCCAGCGTGCTGCCCCTCACTCCTCCCAGTTTCCTCCGACAGAGGCCCCGTTGCAGACACTTCACATGGACGTGTGGGGCCCAGCCCGCGTCCGTGGACAGGGTCACGAGCGCTACTTCCTGCTCGTTGTTGACGACTACTCGCGTTACACCACAGTCTTCCCCTTGCGCAGCAAGGGTGATGTCACTGAGGTGCTGATCGACTGGATCCGCGCAGCTCGTCTCCAGCTCAGGCAGAGCTTCGGCTCGGACTTTCCTGTTCTGCGTCTGCACTCGGACAGAGGCGGAGAGTTCTCCTCTGGCCTTCTGCGTGCCTACTGTCGTGCACGGGGCATCCGTCAGACCTTCACGCTTCCGGACTCACCGCAGCAAAATGGGATTGCTGAGCGCCGCATTGGCATGGTCATGGACGTCGCTCGTACGTCTATGATGCATGCGGCTGCCCCCCATTTTCTGTGGCCGTTTGCGGTGAGGTACGCGGCGCATCAGATCAACCTCCACCCCAGGGTCTCCAGGCCGGAGACCTCCCCAGCCTTGCTGTGGACGGGGAAGGTTGGCGATGCGTCGGCGTTCCGGGTCTGGGGATCTCGGGCGTTTGTCCGCGACCTGTCTGCGGACAAACTATCCCCTCGTGCTGCTCCTTGCGTCTTCCTGGGGTTCCCCCCTGACGCGCCTGGGTGGCAGTTTTACCACCCCACCTCTCGCCGTGTTCTGTCCTCCCATGACGTCACGTTTGACGAGTCAGTCCCCTACTACCGCCTCTTCCCCTACCGCACTCCGTCCCTCCCCCCACCCCCACTCTTCCTGGTACCAGGTCCCCCCCAGGTAGACCCCCTCCCCCCTCAGGGTCCTGCCCCTTCAGGTGTGTCCCAGGTAGACGCAGTCGAGCCTGTCGAGGTCACTGGTGACTCTGGTGCTGCTGAGGGTGCTGAGGCTGGGGGTGCTGTACCTGGGGG